CTTTGAAAAATAAATCTGCTCTTTTTTTTATAAAAGACTAAATAAAACAAAAATATTGGTGGTAATTTTTGACTGTGTAACTTTACAAATGGCTGCCCATACTGTAGCTCTAACCTTGGTCAGCCCGGCGTCCYCCTCCCAGTGATGTGGTCGGCAGCGGAGGGCTCTTCCATCATGGCCTCCACACACAGAGAGCATATTGACCCGGGCAGCTCGCTAATGGTGGTTGTGGGTCGCCTCGGCCCAAATCAAAGAAGCCATTTAGTGCCGGAGCGAGGCGGCAGCGGCGGTGAAGGTGGTAAATATGTGCTGCACGCATCCCTGACTGTTTGTTTTGGGTGAACGCTTGGATAAATAACTTATTAAAATCAATTTATGCATTAATATTCAGCAGACCCACCGCAAGAACTGGAAGCCCTCGCTGAACCCAGAACTCTGCGAGCCGGGCCTCCTGTTCTCAGCCCGGGTCGTGAAACACTAAGTGCTGTGAGAGGAGAGCTTGTGGAAAAGTTTCAGATGTTTTGATGGGAGGTTTTGGGTTTTCTGGTCCAGKTTGGGTTTACCTGATCTCGGGGTCGCAACAAGAATTATAGTTTTTGATTTTTACAACCTGAAACCCTGAAACTGAAGAACTTTATTTTTATTAGACACTCAGACCTCATAAGTACCCAACCACACGTAGACAAATAAAAYGGCTAAACGATGGAGAATAGTTCCAGCATGATTGAGCAGACGTTGAGCTGTGACTAGCATTAGCATTAATAAAGTCAGTTTGTGTTATTTAGCAATGGGAGGCATTCAGCGGCTGTTTGTGTAGAAACGAGTGTGAGGGCTGGGTGGGCACCAGCATATCAGAGGGGAAAGAGCTCCCACGACAAAAGCAGTGGCCAAAGTAAATGTCTGCCATCCTGCGAGGAGAAGGAGATGTTTGTGTTCGTGCAGCAGAGGGAGTGAAGGATCTGATGTGGTGATGGGGGGGCGGTGGTCCCCGCAGACTGCACACACAAATCCTTAACTATGTGTTAGTTCATGAGCACGTTGGTGCAAGTGTGTAAACACGAGTCGGTGCGAGCGCCTTCACTGTGTTAGCATCAGAGACGGTTAGCCGGGAAAATAAACAGCTCCTCGCGCTTCACGGGACGACGGCGAGGATAAACACCAGGAGGAGCTGGCAGAGTGAGGGTTGTCCTGCTCGTCTTCCTGCTCCGGTCCAGAGTCCTCAGAGAGCAGATGAGCCACAGTGTGGACGTTCAGATCATCTGTTTTCCTCCGTCTAACTCCTCCTGACACAACGTATGTCCTACATCAACAATTCAAAACATTCAGCTCATTCATGCTGTGGGACTTTTCAGCAACTTGTACTTTTTTAGCTTTTTATCTTTTTCTTCCACTTTTCTTCTTATTGTAAATGAATGGAGCTGTCTTCAGCATCCTTCAAATCCATTTAAAACTTTAATTTTTATCTTTTGTTTACACTGCAAAAACTGTCCATCTAACCAAGTTTTAAAACCTTATATCAGCCAAAAAGTCTTTTTGATCTTGTTTTCAGACTGATTTACTAAACAAGAACTGATTGTGTAAGAATAATCATCTTGTTTTCAGAATGTGTAAGATTATTTGTCTTGTTAGTCTGAAAATTTGACTCTAATTAAGAAAAAATATCTGCCAGTGGAGTAAGAACATTTTACTTTATTCTTGAAATACTTGATT